GTAACCATTGTGATCAGTGTCTTGTAGAGAGTTGTAAAGCCGCCAGTGCAGTGAACATCACTAACCAGAAACGTTTTGTTTATGTAAACGGCTCAAAGTGGCGATCTCAACAAACCCACGCTTACAGTTTGCTTGCTGAAGGCTTTCACGAAGGTACCTTAGGTTTTTGCGACAAATGATCTTGAACGCCAATGCCGTCTAAGTAGCTATAGTTGTTTATGGCTTTCTACAGGAAACCGTATTGACTACGCAGAAAAGCATAGATGAATTTTGTGATTGCCAAAAGTTTAGTTCTCGAATTGACTTTCGCAAGCAGCAGTGTAATTCGCCTACTATGGCCTAGTAGTTGTGAGATATGCACATGATTCTACTATGAACACATACCGCGATACAAAACCGATCGAACACAGCTGCAACGAAGTCTTAGCCTGCTAGTCTTCGTGCAGCTGGATCAATAGTCGTCGGGGGCGAGAGAATGAATACTGTATCTCCTCAACGACTACAGTGACCTTGCAAGATGAACTTTCATCATTCCCTCCTTAAAGAAATATAGCGTGTATTTATATCCAGTGAACCGCAATGCTTGGCGCACCGGTCTTAACACTGATAAGGACCTCTGGATGATTTTTATTTCAAAGACCGAGGGTATAGTCTAGCGTTTGCACTACCACAGAGAAAATTTGAGTGATAAGTTCTATTTGCCGCGTGTGCTACCGGGTTTCTGGGGTAAATTAAGTGCGAAGTCGCGCTGTCGCTGAGTTTAAACACTGGAACCTTCAATTGGAAGCATTAGAGATATGACACTGTGGCATCGATCATGCATGTTTTATTTCCATTATTTCTGAAGACTTTTCATAGCTTCATGCCTTGCATAATAAGGGGAAGCGCGAAAGTTAAAGAAGGCAACTTTTGAAAACACAGAATTAAAAAGAAAATGCTGGTGGTGGGTATAATTGCAATACCAGTGATGTCATGACGAAGAAAACAGTAATTTTCATATTTACCTGCGTCAAAGTTCGAAAAGTTCATTATGGAATAGCACCACATGAAGAATTTATTATGTATACATTCTCCAACGTTTCAGCTCATGTTCAGTCCATCATCATGGAAATGGGTGCTACAAAACCGAATTATACTGTTGTATTTTACGGTATGGTATATTAAGAGCATGGATGAGATGTCATCAAAACCTGCGGTTTGTATTTCTTGCCATAATATAAATCGCAAAATAATTTGAAAATCAGAAACTAGCTGATTGGAATGGTTATTTAGTCCACTCTCGCAGGATCATCCTGTGTACCCGTATTTACAACACATACGTAATATTGAGAATCGCGAGATTATTGCACACGTGTGTTAAAATTGCGAGAGAAAAGCTGTTGAACCTCTCTCCTGGTAACAGAAAATAAAACTGTTGTCGGCGAGTTCATACCGGGTTGCATTGTTTTGTATCGATACTTAATTATGAGCAGCAGGAGCATTGAAAAGAAAGCATCCACAAAGTTAAGAAACACTGCAATCTTTGATTCATTAGTGATAATGGTGCCGTTTACTTGTTAACCTAAGATTAAGACGATCTAGTTTATAAATAGAAGGTGAAATCTACTCAACTATGAGGCATAGTAACTTTTACCGTAAAGGGTCTACGGCGAAAACTCGCATATTGAGAGTAATAGCAAATAAATTCAGCTCTTTTCGTTCATTTTCATTCAATAATAATCTACGAGTGACGAAAGATCAAAAGAAAGATAGACCAGCGGAAAAAATGACCAGAAATGCTAAACAATCGATTAACAACAACAAGGGTTACACAAAAAGACTGTTGATCATCACTCTGAATAAGCAGCTGTCATGAGGGCCGAAGCGAATTCCAGCTCTATGCGGAGCTCGCTTTATACAGTATTGCCGTGCCTCTAGCCAATTCTGGTATGAACACCTCAGAATATGGTACCACCCATATTGCTCACAAATCAGCAACTTGCCAACCGTTTCCCGGCTGGTTGCACCGAAGCAACGTGGGGTTAATTCCTTGCTGAATATCATTAGCGATTAAGACAAACTTGGTCTTTTACGGAATTCGAGCTTTGCACCTTCGGAATTAGCAGTCAGCCTCTTTGTCACTATGCCATTGTACTGTAATGCAGCTAGAGGAGATAATTAGACAGAATCTTTTGCTTGACTGACAGAGAAAAGTCTCGAATAATGCCATAAATGACCTGTAGCGATTGCCAAAATCATTCTGGCACCTCAATTAGGATGCCTCATGCTGAAGTTCAGGTATTGGATTGAGATCGTGGTCGTTGGCAACGATGTCAGAAGCTGGTATCCTTCCAGCTGAAAGAACAAACTGACGTGCACAACTGGCAGATTCATTCAACGTTTCCTGAGTCGCTGCCTACGGAAAGAGTAGGAGTCAAAAGAGTTCGAAATGGTAACGCGAAAGCAATGTGGCTTTCGCAGAAGTACCTTTCGTTCAGACAGTTGGTTTGTGAAGGGAACGATAATCGACACTCGACTGATTTACATTTTCGTCTCTCTAAACCTAATGGCGGTTTATAGTTTAATACAGTAATGAGACTACTAGGCGCTATCGCCGTCCGGAAGATACGCGGTCACTCCTATTACGCTATAGCGAAACCCAAACACCTGAAATCCACCTGAAACGGGTCTCGTGTTGACAACCGAGATGACCACACCGCGGATGACATGTCAGTCAGGGTGTGCTAGAAAAACAAGTCGTAATGTCGAACGACATTAAATGAACGGCAAGGCACTATGCACATTGAGAATCAAAAACTTGCTCAAAGATACCATGACCAGGGGGTATGGTCAGGCAACAAGTTGGCGCCAATCAAAACGACGGTCCAACGAGCGGTCCCTTCCACTGTACTCGACGACAGATCCGGCTGATCGCGTCGTGTCTCCGTCGGCACACGACCTGTGGAAAGCGTGCCACGTGGTATGCTTGTCATATCTGGAGGAATGATCGACACACCGTAGGCTGACGACAGCCAGTCGTCCTCACTGACAGCGGTGAGTGCGGGCCACGGCGGGTCTGAGAGCGAAAAGCAGTGTGCGGCTCACACTGACGTTTCCGCCGACGGTAATGACCACGGCGTCGGCTGAGCATTTAATCCTTGTAAACGCCAGAGGGCAGCTCGATCGCTGTCAAGAATTAACTTTTAATTTCTACGTAAAATCGAAAGCGATAACCTCCGCCGACGTGTTCTTTGTTCGTAATGGGAGTTACCTCGTCGGCGAGGGTGTGTGAGGCAACGAGGCGGTCAGCCCACCAGAACTTGTCGCCATCTCTAACAGGACGAAAAATAAACGAAAACACTAGAGGCACTGTCACCCCCTTTTGGAGACTTTCGCCTATGTCGCCGTTTCACTTCGACCAGCCTTAAAAATTTAGTGCTAAGATAAACAAGGATAACGGATGGCTTCTTCAAAAACAACCGCCGAATATGAGGATACCAGAAGAATAGTGCATTTCCAGGCAATGATAATTTAACCAAAGAGGAAACTCAGTTATTATGCAAAGATCAGACATAAATAATTTTGATGGGCATATTGATTTTTATCTAGCAAAGCTGGTCTATTCGACACGATGCCATCTCAGAAATGAAAATAAGTCATTGAGCAAATTATAAAAATCCAATATATTTTGATAACGCATAAGATTTTCAACGCTGTCACG